AGAAGAAAAGGAAATATTCTAAAAGTAATCTGCCACCGGTACCGGCAGGATTGTGGTTAATTTCTGATGCGCAGAAGAAAAATCTGGCCCACCCTATATTTTTACAGGCCCACCCTAAAGTACATTTCTGCCTACGCTACTGGTCCGCACAGCAGCAACAACCAATCACATGAATCTCTTACCCCCGACACACAAAGCAATAGCAATGTTAAAACGAAGTAAACTGGAAAAAAAAAAAAAAAAAAAATCCCCAACAGGCGAAAACCTACCAGTTTCACCCACTGTCTCTGCCACCTCCCTCCATGCCTCGCTCCTCTGGTTTGTATCCCGGTAGATGAACAGAGACTGATCATACAGCACCGGGTGATTCACTACCGCTATAATGAATTTTCCCTCAAATTTTTGGAATATGAGGAATTACCTGCGTAGTCTCTCCCAGCATACACGCGGTCTGATTGGCTAGCGCTTGTACTGGCAGATTTGCATAAACGGGATTTCATTGGCTGACGCTTCTGCCGAGGCAGAATGGGCAGAAGCGTTTGGAAGCTGTAACGCACGCCACCGTGTGGACGGGCCGTCACAGTGGCTCTGCGCCAGAAACATCAAAAATAAATAAATATCTGGAATATCACCCCTCCACTGCCATTAACATCCCTCAGCTAGCAGCTGCGCTATCTACTCACCCAGATTCCGTGTTTGTTGACTATCTCCTGTCAGGGCTCTCCCAAGGCTTCAGGGTAGGGGTCCTCCCATCTCCCACAGTGACTTTCGTAGCAAGAAACTTACAGTCAGCCACTAAAGAACCCAACATAGTTTCCCAGCTCATCGACAAAGAACTTCTCAAAGGATATATAATCGATCCTTTTAGCTCATCCCCCTTCTCAGTGTTCCGTTCAAATCCCATCGGAATAGCCACACGTAAATAAAAGGCTGATTTTCGATCTGTCCGCTCCCTGCTCCGGCCCATTCTGCAGCGTCAATAGCATCATCCCTCCAGATCAGTTCTCCCTTCACCATGCCTCAGTGGATAATGCAATAAAGATGATCAAGTTCACAGGGCACGGAGCTCGGCTCTCCAAAGCGGACATTACCGATGCCTTCAAATCATCCCCATTCATCCGTCTCAGTGGAATTTGCTCGGTATTAAGTGGGAGTCCAAACTCTATTTTCGCCGTTCGCCTGACCTTCGGGTGCAGAAGCAGCCCCCGCATCTTCAATTCCTTCTCGGAAGCGCTCTATTGGATCCTGCTGAACATCGTCAGAATCCCCTCCGTCCTTCACCTACCGGACGACTTCCTCCCCATAGACCCGCCACAGGACAGCTCAGGGATCTCACTGACCAAGCTTAAACACTGCTTCAGGAGTGAGGTGTCCCTCTCTCCAAAGAGAAAACGTTAGGTCCCGACACACGCTTAGAGTTCTTAGGCATCATCCTCGACTCCATAGACATGAAGGCGTCTCTCCCCTCCGACAAATTGCAGCGGATCCGGGACATCACCAAGTCATACTGCGAGCAACAAGTTATCACAAAACAACAGTTGCTCTCCCTTCTCGGACACCTCAACTTCACCATGCACGTCATCCCCCAGGGGCGCTCGTTAATCTCCCGCCTCCTGGACGCAGCATCAGCGGTCGACAACCTCCATGACTGCGTTTTCTTAGACGAAGGCTGCCGCTCAGACCTACGGTTCTGGTCCCTCCTGCTCGCCCACTGGAACGGAGTTACCTTCTTTTACGATGGCCTCGTGCGTTCCTCTGACTCAATGAGGTTCTTCACGGATGCCGCCCATCCATGGGTTTTGGGGGTTTCTTCCAGGGAGAGTGGTTCGCAGGGTCATGGCCCCGTCAATTTCTACCTCAAGCAAGTTCTCATTAAATCCGGCCTATCACCCATATCATACCCGGGGCATTTCTTCAGGATAGGTGCAGCCACCTCTGCTGCTAATCAAGGTCTCTCTACCTCATCCCTACAACAACTAGGACGGTGGTCCTCCTCCGCCTTCACAACCTTCATTCGTCCGGACATCAGCGCCGTACGGGCTTCCCAAAGATCTCTCAGACCCTAACTATGGTATCTATGCATATAACTGGTGGTGGTTCATAACACGTATACATGTCTCATCATGGTATCGGATTTCAAACTGCATTCCTGTCCTAGTCCGTGGGCCCCCGCCCACAGGGAACAATGTCTCGTCTCACGCTGCACCTACCTGTAACGGGCTTCATCTCTTTTACGCAGGTATCCAAATCCCAGGCCCTTGCTCAATGTGTCAGTGTAAAATGTATATCCTGCGAAGTCAGGCGTGGACTCGGGCCACCGTACACTTCGGTGTCGTGGCTTCGGGCCACCGTACACTTCGGTGTCGTGGCTTCGGGCCACCGTACACTTCGGTGTCGTGGACGTTGTGCCACCGTACACTTCGGTGTCAGTTACAAAACAAAGGAAATAAAGAAAGAGGAAAAGAGTAAAGAAGGAAAATAAAAAGATATATCCTGCGAAGTCAGGCGTGGACTCGGGCCACCGTACACTTCGGTGTCAGTTACAAAACAAAGGAAATAAAGAAAGAGGAAAAGAGTAAAGAAGGAAAGAAAAAGATATATCCTGCAAAGTCAGGCGTGGACTCGGGCCACCGTACACTTCGGTGTCAGTTACAAAACAAAGGAAATAAAGAAAGAGTAAAGAAGGAAAATAAAAAGATATATCCTGCGAAGTCAGGCGTGGACTCGGGCCACCGTACACTTCGGTGTCGTGGCTTCAGGCCACCGTACACTTCGGTGTCAGTTACAAAACAAAGAAAAAAAAAAATAAAGAAAGAGAAAAAGAGTAAGAAGAAAAAAAAAAAAAAAAATATCCTGAGGGCCACCGTACATTTCGGTGTCATAGCTTCGGGCTACCGTACACTTCGGTGTCGTGGATGTTGGGCCACCGTACACTTCGGTGTCAGTTACAAAACAAAACCGTTCGACCTGCGGGCGGCGTAGTCAAGCCCTGCTAGCCAGGCAGGCGACCCGCAGGTCGTTTTAAGATAAGACCGGCACTGATTTCGGCAGTCAGAGTCTCAGCATGACCCGTAAGCTCCGGCAGTGATTCCGGCCCAATGCCGCTTACATATGTTAATCTATTATCTTTCATTCCTAGATCACCACAGTCACCCCACAAGGTAAGCAACTCAGTTCATCTCAGTATTTCATACTTCACTGGTTTTGGGGATTTCATCGGAGCGGTTCTTTCCCTCCTGAATGATTATCCTGCAAACCGGGGCCTAATCGCCAAACACCATTACATTCTCCTGTTGTATTATCGTGGCAATCATTTCATTCATATGACGTGTAAACAATAAATATGTAATTCTTACATCACGTCTCTCCGGTTTGAAATGAAAGCTTTAGCGCAAGTTCAATAAGGAAGACCTAACACGAGTCACTTACACGTCACTCTATGGCTCCCTTCCCCCCTCATTAAATACGAGGGCGTCACCCCTCAGCAGCCAATCGCTGCACATGCTAAATTCCTTAAATGCCTGCTCTTCCTCCCTGTCAGTTGTCATTGCAGATGATCACACGCAACCCGCCTCCACCCCTCTCGCCTCCCATCTCCTTCAGGACAAATCTAAACCTTCCTCCTTCAGACCGGTCTCACCTCATCACCACCACCAGTGTCTTGACCCGGGGATTTCATCGGAGCGGTTCTTTCCCTCCTGAATGATTATCCTGCAAACCGGGGCCTAATCGCCAAACACCATTACATTCTCCTATTGTATTATCGTGGCAATCATTTCATTCATATGACGTGTAAACAATAAATTTGTAATTCTTACATCACGTCTCTCCGGTTTGAACTGCAGTAGCCTGGCCTGTACTCCCTTGTTCTTCCCTCTCATATTTGCGCTGTTGTCATATGACTGTCCTCTGCAGTCATCAAAGGCAATCTGCAACTCCTCCAGCCTCTTCAAAATCAGGGCGGACAAACTTTCACCAGTGGACTGCTCTGCTACTAGAAATCCCATGAAGTGCTCTTTAATCTGGGGGGCTTCTTCCAGTGTCACAATTCTGATGACTACTGACAGCTGTTCAGTGTGGCTAACATCCGGAGTGCAATCTAAACTGAGGGAAAAGTACTTGCATTTCTTTATTTCTTGCACTATTGTAGATAGAATCTTTCCACTGGTGCATTCAATCAACTCATTCTGAATGGTTTTGCCCAAGTAGCTGTGGTGGGATGTTTGACTTTTAATCTTGTTAGTGTGGTCTTTCATCACTGGGTCAAACTGCGCCAAAAGCTCAACCTCTTTCAAAAAGTTTCCATTTGAAGGAGAGTGGAGTATTTCTGTCTTTCCTCTCAATGCCATATTTCGCCCTGCCAGAGACTACAATAGCAACCAGTCGTGTCAACACTGCTCTCCACCGACTCTTCTCTGCCTCAAGGAGGGCCTGCTCTTGTTTGTCTATTGTTGTACTTTGTTTTAATCGAACTGCCAATTCTTTCCATGATGCCAAATTGTTCAGGTGTTCCGGACTATTTTCATGGCTGTTCAAAGCAGCATTTGCATTTTTCCAATCCGACAGTCCTGCATTTGTTAAATGAATTTGTTTTGGAGAGAAAAGTTGACAACAAAAACAAAAAAGACTGTTCTTCTTTTTTGAATATGTCACCCAACTTCTTTTGATCCTTTCTCCATTTACTAAGGTCCTGCTGAAGTACTGGTGGTGGCAACTTCTCCCATCATCTCTCCTTGGGAAAATGAAATCAGGTGTTATCTGATATGGTCCTCTCTGAACAAACTCTGTCCTCATTGTGTCTGTGAGATGTGAAGGGCAGTCAGCAGGATCGGTTGGTAGTGGGTCGTCTGTCTTTGCTGCATCTGGAGGGCATGTGAAGCACATTTTCTCATCTCATATTCACAATATCTTCACACATACAAACACACACACACAACCCCAATTCCAAAAAAGTTGGGACAGTGTGTAAAATGTAAATAAAAACAGAAAGCAATTATTTGAAAGCATGAGGACAATTAGGTTTATAGCTAAACATCTTTACATTCATCAGGCACACACCTGAGAAGAGTGTATGGGTGGAATCTGTGGTGCAATCAGGATGAGATGCAGCAGGCTGGTCTGACGTTCCTTGCAGTGGTTCTGGGCCTATACATATATAGAGAACACACAAGAGCAAATATATTGGCTGGATTAGAAATGGCACAACAGTCATTTTTACATTCAATTATTTATCATCACATCAGGAACATCTATTGACATATTGTACTCACCAGAACAAACAGGCACAGTGGTCAGTGGCAGGGTGGAATCAGTGGTCATCTCATCAGGATGAGCAGCTTGCTGTTCTGACATTCCTTCATGTGGTTCTAGGTCTATAAATATAGAAAGAACACACAAGAGCAAATATATTGACTGGATTTCACATTAAATTATTTATCATCAGGAACATCTATTGACACATTGCACTCACCTGAGGAAGCCGGCACAGCTGAGCTGCATGGCTGTTCCTTGTCAACTGATGCAGCAGGTGGTCCCAGATATTTTAAAAGTGAATCTAAAATGATATAACAAAATGTGTATTATCAACATTGAATAATTTCCATTTGTTAAATGTAGCTATTATTTAGTTAGTAAGCATTTGGACAGCCTGACAGGTCTGATTCAACTAATCAAGAGCTATGCCTATCTTATTAGAACAGTTGAATCAGGTGTGTTAGTTCTGGGTTGGAACGAAAACATTCAACAGGACTGGAGTTGAGAACCACTGAGCTAGTTAGCTAACGATAGCGCACATTATGACAGGGTTGAATTTGGCAAATGTTTGACTCGGATAGTCAATGTGCTTTTTGAGGTAAACTTAACGTTAGCTAACGTTACCAACTAACTAACATTCCACCACACTGGCTAGCTCGCTACACCAAAACTAACATTGTTATTATTACTAATATTTCTATTTCATGACACAACGAAAATAGCCTTATGACAGTTTAGACTGAATGGCAATAACAAACGCTGGCTAGCTAACGTTGGCTTGGCTAACTAGCAAGATTACATGATCCATTCGCCAATGTTGATAATACAATCAAAATTGCATACCTTTCACCTTGGCACGTTTCTCTTCTTCATTTCTTCAGTTTTTATACTGCGCCCCGGATGGCTTTTGCCTCGTCATAGTTCTCTAACGTTAGTCTTTCTTTCCTCAACGCTCAATTTTATAAACACTTGACCGATAGCCATCAATGCACAGCGCTCTAGCATGTTCTGACTGTGAACACCTAAAACCAAGGCTCTTACCCCCTAATCCCACCAGGAGCGTCTGCGCTGCGTTGCGCTGCGTTGCGCTGCGGCTGCGGCGTTTTTAGCGATCGCGGCCACTCTAGTCAATGGGTGCTATTCCACCAGACCCGCTGCGCCGCGCTGTGCCGTGCTGCGCCGTGCTGCGCCGTGCTGCACCGTGCTGCGCCGCGCTGCGCCGCGGCTCGAAGCGTCCCAGAAGCTCCTCGCCGCGCAGCGCAGGCAGGAAGTGGAATGTTCATCCAACAACTGCAAGGCTGCACACACGACGCTCCGCTTCCGCAACGTTTTGAAACGCGCCTGCTGGGTTATGACGCAGGAGGAGGTCGCAGCGCGGCGCAGCCGCAGCGCAGACGCTTCCAGTGGGATCAGGGGGTTACGGCCCGTCCACACAGCGGCGTGCGTTGACGCTTGCCGGCGGGCGTGTCTGACACTCGACCAATCACATGAATCTCCCGCCCCTGACACACAAGCAGCGGTTTGATTGGCTAGAGCTTGTACTGGCATATAATTCGATTGGCTGACGCTTCTGCCCGAGGCGTCAAAAGTTGAACATTGTTCAACTTTTGCAGTGAGCCACGCCAGCAACGCTCCGCGTCGCTTCCCACGATGCAGTTCGGCTAAAAGTGACGTCACCCCATTCAAAGTGATGGGCAGAAGCGTTGGAAGCTTCAACGCACGCCGCTGTGTGGACGGGCCGTTAGACCGACCGACCGTTTTAGATTGTTGTCTCATTTTCCCTTATGTTAGAATTTTTTTTTTATGTAAGAATAATGGTTGCAGATATAGAGGTGGGCGCCAAAACTGCGCCAAGCAAAAAAATAAATACATTTTTTGTTGTTGTTGTTGCAATTTTTGGCGCCCCCCTCTGGGTGGCGCTCTAGGCAACCGCCTATATCGCCTGTAGGAAGCTCCGCCCCTGCGACACACACACACACACACACACACACACACACACACACACACACACACACACACACACACACACACACACACACACACACACACCACACACACACACACACACACACACACACACACAAACACACACACACACACCTTTTCTAAGGATGGATAGCATTCTTTTCTTGTTTCACACTTTGGAAGTTAATAGCAATTTTGTGAATGTGCTTTCCCATTTTCACACTGGTATTGTGCCAATTGTCTATTAAATAGGATATGCACTGACGGTATATGCATCCAAGAGAGAGCATCAATTCATAGTTAAAATATAGAAAGTTAGGATACTTTTTTTGTCTCCAGTTCATTTTGAAAATACAATTAAATGAAAGGAAACCATTGGCTTGAAGGAATATAAAACATATAGAGAAATGGGTCTTAAAGTATGGCCTGCAGTAATGGACATTTAGCACTAGTCTGGTTTACTTTTTGTAATGTGTCTCAGGTTAAACTTTTCTCTCTGTAATCACAGGCTTTCAACTGTGCGAGCTAATTTGTATCTTATTTCTGTATTCATTTATCTCTCTGGAGTTCAGGAGTCACTGAGTCTTGTGGAGGTGTTGATGTCAGATTTGCCAACCCACTGTCTGTCTGATCCTCCTCCTTTATTATAGGTCTACTGAATATGCAGACTTGTTCCTCTTTTAACCGCACAGCCCAAGAGCTGCTCTGGGAGACATAAAGGAGCAAGCAGGAGGACACACTGAATAGCAATGGGTGAGAGTACTGCAAAAGCATGTGTTTATCTATCTCTCTGTGTGTGTGTGTGTGTGTGTGTGTGTGTGTGTATGTGTGTGTGTGTGTGTGTGTGTGTGTGTGTGTGTGTGTGTGTGTGTGTGGGGGGGGGGGGTTGTAGGGGGGTGGGGTCCACTGTGATGTAAATAATAACTCTTATTGTTCACTGGTGACCCTGAGTGTCTGAGAAGTAACCGCAAATCCACTTTTCTGCAGACAAAGCACAATGCCATGGGGGAAGAAATGAGTTTTATTTTAAAGATTTGTCTCATTCAACAGATTCCCTCTCCATCTTAGGTGTCTGCATGCAGCTCTGTTATAGCTGCTCTGACAATATGTGGCCAATTTTACAGCATGACTTATAATGCAGTGTTCTTGCGGTGGCAATTTACTCCAACTCAGAGTTCTGCGATCGGGGTTATTGTGTATATATCGCCGCGGGACCAAAATGGCTCCATATTTTTAACCTAAACTTTGAAATAACATTTCTTTGCCTCGATACAATTTATTATTTTGATAACGCTTAATCCCACTTTTTTACTTCACATTCTCCTACAAAAGCCATTAATGTTTTGCTTGGAGCTGTTACTTATAGAGATTTGTTTTAACGTGGCAGCAATTCATGCATTTATTTACATACATGCACAGTTTGTTCCCCCTGCCCCATTATGGAAGAAAACCTGAAATTCACGTCCAAACGTTTATTTCTTCACAATTTGAATTTCTCTCAGTTTGGAATTGTTTAAGCCTTTCTTTCTTGCTCAACAAAAAAGAAAGCATTTACTTTTTTATCTCTATGGATTATTGTCATATATATATATATATATTTTTTAGGAACATCCTACTCATTGGCTCTTTTATAAGAAGCAAGGAAGTCTTTGTGAGACTTGCTATGTTTTCTACATATGGGATCCAGTGAAGAAAATACAGAAATAAGGCAAAGGCACAACAAGTCAGAATGTAGCTCAAAGACACATTTTAACGTTTTATGTGTTCATTACTGTGCATTGTCCCTGCCAAATAAACGATTAAATAAAATAAAAATAAAAATGAACAAGTGCTTTGTTTAAACATTTAAAAATTAGACTTTACAGGGCAACAAATTGCATTCCTCTGTACCTGTGATGCTTGCTTTACGAACGAAAACATTAGAAAAATTTCAAAATAACAAATTGCGGTGAGAAGCCCGAACAGCAGCTCAATCACACCCGGGCAGTGCTGGGGTGTGATTGGGTGGCCTACACGAGTCAGCAATTTGGCTCTCACCGTTCACAATTTACAGCAACACTTTTCTGCTGGCTCTTACTTTCTTCCCCTCCTCTCATTCTCCCTCTCTTCCCTTTCTCTAATGCACAAGTACGCACACATTACCTGCTAACAAATGCACACTGACGCACAGTGTTATTCATGCACACAAATACAAACTCTTTGCACACACACACTTCTTGCAGGACCCATTTAGAAGCTGCTTATTTTCTTCCCCCGAATCCATAATGAGAAATCATTTCTGTAGAGAAAAGAACAAACCTTTTCCCTTTTCTTTCTCATTCTCTAAGACAAACCGTGTAACAGCAGAGCTTTGCTAGCTCCAGGGAGTATAATCCTGGAGTTTTTTCCTCTGGTGGTTACCTGCACCGGTTATTTGTTCACATTATGCTCACTACAGACTGAAAGGACACACGTTTTGTTTTGTTTTTCTCTTGTAAAAAGTTTATGGGGGTACTGCTTTCTTGATGTGATGTAAAGAGAAATAGATCGATACTTGCTCTGCTTTAAAGCAAACAGTTAAAGACTAATTGAATGAGTGCCCTCCTCAGACTGAGACAAATGACTCTCATCTATGAGTGATTGGACTTGCCTTCGCTACCTTACATTTCTGCCTCTCTCTTTTCTTCTTATTGCCTTCCTACACGCCAAATTGAAATTCAAATGAGGCTCAGAGGCTCCACAGCAAACAACAAGCTTCTGCCAAGTCATGTTGTCGACACTTCTGAAACAAACGTTATATAAACATTGAGATAAGATCAAGTGTTTAACATTACTTTTAATTTTGAAACTGAGGGTTTTTGTTTCAGGTGTATTTCTGCTTCATTTTATCTTATTCCCTGTTGAAATTATAGTTGAAGCCAGCACAAATAGCTTCAGTCTGGCTGTCCAGAGCTTAATGGCGGAAAGAGAAATGTATCCAGAGCCCCAATTATAAATCTAGATGTCTGTTTTAGTTTTAACCATATTATTTGAAAACTGGGTAAGTGGTCTTTGCTCTGCTTCACGGCCAAGAAAATCCCTGTTCTCAATTGGCCCTTGCAGAGACAGGGCCCCAGTATTTCTATGTTATCCGTGCATGTTCAGGTTTTATGTCCAAGTGAAGAACAATCATGTAAGAGGTGGAACGGGCTTGTTCTTTTTTGTCTGAAAAGCCTTTGTATTAATTTCAATCACACACAAGCTGAATTTCAAAGTTACATTTAATCTATTATTCATGTTTACATTGGATTGAAATTCGACAAAGTGTTTTGGTAATGACCTAGTACCTGTTTTTGATGTATTATTCTTTCTCCCAAATAATTGAGAAACATTGTATTATCTTATACTGTGAGAAGATTATCACACGTTTGTTTGGACTGACCTGATGTACAATGAACAGCTGGGATGTTAATTAATACTAACATCCAGCATCTAGTAGCACCTGCTATCTATTTCTCGTTCATCTGGAAGTGTTTCTTCCTGCATACTTAGCCTACATAAGAAATATATATACTTAATGTATAGAAAGTGGGACAAATTCTGTTTAAAGAGGCCAAGTTAATACATTACAGTCTATAATTAGAGATCTGAGCACTGTTGTATATGTTGGATTATGTGGGGAGGTTTTTGAGTCTAGCTCTGAACACTGTGTAGGAAAATACAAAAAATAAATGATTTGTGGGAGAATTAAATGGAAAGCTTTACTCAGATCAACATTCTTTTGTAGTTGTCCTGCTGTGAATTGATTTCAAAATATGA